AGTTCCTGTAAGAGCGGGACCCCTCTCCAGATTGCCACAGAGTCCTGAAGGTACGGCTGAAGACATCCATAAGACTTTCCTTTGCTTATGTGTAATGATCTCATCTTAAACAGCAGCTGGGCCACGTTTACAGAAGGAAGGAAAAAGGAAAAATGCTCACTTACCTTGATACCATATGCTTCAAAAAGCCTCTCCAAATCCTACAGAGGGAAAAAGGGAAATGACATAATTTCAGGTAGACCTTACTGGGACGAGGTGTGATAAGGTCCCCTCTACTACCAGCCTGATGCCAATCCCCATGGAGCGTTGTTAATGGCTTAAGTAGGAATAAGCTCAGACCCTAAATCTGTGTCATGGCAATAATGGAAGTGCTGGTTCTTATACGCACACGCTAATCTGCTCTTTTAGTAACAAACTTCACATCGAGATTTCATACCAAGCTAAAGCCATCAGATGCATGTCACTAAAGGAAAACAACCTTTAGATACTTCCCCATGCCCTGAATGAAAACTTAGTCATGCAACGGGATCATGTCCCTGCCAGGAGTTGTGCTTTGCATGGTGCTTGGAGGAACTCCTGTTGGGGGTCCTATTTGGAAATGCCTCAACTCAGACCCAGGCGTAGGGGCTCTAAAGATTGCAGATGGTCTCAGAGACAGCAGCTGGGTCTCACAGACCAGACAGCAGCTGGTCTTTACAGACCTAAGTCTTTACAAATAATAAGAAAAATCACCATTTGGATCTGGAAGGAACCAGAAACCCATGAAAGAGGCTGGTGCACTGGTGTGAAGGGCTCTGTAATGTCTCTCCTATTTAGAAGGTGGATATTCTGCACTAGCTTAGACTCCTAAATGACTTCAAGTATAGCCATGAGTGCTAAAAATATGGCAGTATAGTAGTCTAGAGGCAACCAAAGCATAAGCAACGTTACTGATCCCGGTGACCCTAAGCCAGAGTTGGAATCTGTTGGCCAACCAAAGAGTTAATAATGCATTTTTAGCCATTGCTACTACCTGGGAATCCAAAAGATCCTTCCCTGTGATCTCCACTCAGTGCTTATGATTACTCAATGGAACCATAGTGCAAAGATCCCCACTTGCAGCTCTCCTTTATATTTAATTCAAGCTAAATTTCAAAGGAACTGCATCAGTGATCTGCACACCTATCAGAGGATTATAAGAAAACAGGGCTGGAAGGGACCTCACAAGGTCATCTAACTCAGCTCTTGGCTCAAGGCAGGACTGTCCCTGATTAAACCATCCCATCCCAGTTTCTGGCCAACCTGCTCTTGAAAATTTCCAGGGATGGAGATACCACAACCTCCCTTGATAGCCTCTTCCAGTGCTCAACCACCCTCAGTCAGAAAGTTCCTCCTAATCTCCAACCTAAAATTCCTCTGCCGTAGCTTGAGGCCATTGCTCCTCACCCTGTCCCCTACAGGCACAGAAGAAAGCCCATCTCCATCCTCTCTATCATGGTTAATGTCACTGAAAGATGATGAATACTGCAGAGTCTGTCTCCTAGTCCCTGTTCCCAGGTCTGCTAACCTTGTCCAGGCACATGTAGATCCAAACCACACTGTGAAAGAAACTTCACAGCTTTCTTTAAAATGGTGTTAGCAGTGGGATAGGATTTCTGACCAATTTGGTAGGCCTACATGGGATTCCTTATGATTTTTGTCTCTGAATCTTGGAAAGTCAAGGACAGAAAGAGAGAGTGACTCAACATTTCTTTGTATTTACCTTGATTTCCACTCCTTTGCCAGGAGGACCTGGATCTCCCTTTAAACAAAGAACAAAAACTAATTAACAAGGGCAACAAGAGATGACAGCAGGGGAAGCTGAACAGTGGCTGGAGCTCAGGACCAGGTTCTCTTCCCTACTTTTCCAATGACTTGCTGTGTGATCTGGGGCACACCGCTTCATTTCAAGGAGTCACATCCAAACCGTTCATATAAGTGCCTCCAAAATTTAGCATCCAGGTTCCTTGTACAGCTTGTAGAGATGGGTAGCAGCCTCCTACGGCTCCAAGCAAGGAACCAACAGGAAATGCTAGACATGGGGACATGTTTGAACCCCCATCCTCCTTTGTGCTGAGGCACCTGACCCAGGGATGTGCATGAGATGCCACCGTGATTTTGCCATCCAAAGGCAAAGTGCCTACCTGACCAGGACCTATGCAGTACATGTGCCACAAGCAGCATGGGCAACGTATTTGGGTGATGCATGGAAGATCAGGGAGGGGAGAGACAGCGCAGTGGCAGATAGGGCAAGGAACAGAAAGCAGAGCAGCAGATCAGGCAGGGGAAGGGGACTGAAGTAGCACTTTGGCAATGTGTGGGGTTAAATGGTGGCATGCCTGCCAAAAAAGTCAATTTACACAAAAATCTTCCAACTGAACTAAACTTTCCGAGGTGTTGAGCACTCTCACATCCCCACAGGCTTTTCAGATCAGAATCGCATTTTAACCTCTCTCTCTCCCATCTTGGAAACGGGTCTCATGTACCTGCAAAGTACAGCTCTCAACCTAGACTTGCTCCATTCACAGTGGTGAGATTTTGGTAGAGGGGGCACGTGCAGAGTTACATACTGATTCATCACGGATGAAATGGCCATTGATATGCAGATACAGCCTGGAGCCAAGCCAGTCCTGATAGCGGTATAAACCATGTCACACGCATTGTAAAGATACTGTGCGCGCACAAGAACTGACTGATGCAGGCGATTATCGATGACATGCTATGAGTTTTCCCAGTGCAACGCCAGCTCTGCCCAGGTAAATTCACCAGTCAGGCAGCACGAAAATGAAAGTGCCACCAGGGACGTTGCAGGATCTCGAGATTGCTTCCCACCTTCCTTGACCAACCATAGGGGGAAAGGTTCTTCCTCCCATTTCACAGCTCATTCAACTGAGGCACATTCAGAGTCATGATGAAAACCCTGGTTTCCTGACTCCGCATCCTATCCCATAGTCATGCTATCCCCTCTAATGCATTAAGCTGCGCGTGTAATGAGAAATCCCTCTTTGGAAACACTCCCCATGTACAGTGCTGGTGGATTAACATTGCTGCTAGAAACTTGAGCTTCAAAGCTACCTTGGCACTGAATTAGCAGCCTGGCAGCACAGAGTACAGACGCTGGACTAAATGATGCCCAGTTTGCATCTTTGCTTTAAAGCAGGGAAAAAGCCAGGGGTTGAATTCCACGTCTGAGGGGCTTCATTTCACTGAAATCTGGTTTTGATCCCTACAGATTCCGGTGGAATGAAGGGCACCAGAAAGCCGTGGACCACAGTCACCTTCAGTGCGTTTGCCTGGGAAAGGAAATAAATCCAACAAGCTCCAGAAATGACACTAATGCAGTGGTTCTCAACTTCAGCAGACTCAAGGCACCTCTTGGAAAATGCCAGCGCCTAGCTTTCACTTGGTTCTTGACTAAGGAAAAGTATTAGAGCAATTCCTCTGTTGCAAGGAACTCTTCGACATCTACTCATGGGAGCCTATCACCCAAATTGAGAAAGAATCGGCTGCAAGGATCTCAGTACTTTGAAACCTCATGACACTAGGAGATGGCAAAGCAGGAGTGGAAGTGTGTTACAGACCAAACCGAGATCCCAGAGCCGCCCACCCTGCATGGAAACACGTGCCCAAGCTGTGATAAAACCCACTGATCCCAGATCAGCCTCATCAGCCATCTTCAGACCTCCGGATAAGGCAATCATGGAGGACCATCATCCTCGACGGCGAGGGATTGCCAATGATAATGCAAGGAACTCAGAAAGGTCAGGATGCTTTTGGCACTCTGGATCCCTATTTGAAATGTTTGGGGTTGTCTTGTGCATTGTGTAGGTGTTTGCACACCTAACTGTGCTGAAGCATCCCAGATCAGGAGCTTCAAGTACGATAACTGCAGCCCAGGATGTAATTGCTCTATTTCTACTAATTTATCCATGCTACAAGACCATAGTGTATAAGGAAATTTTGCAAGGAACATGGACTATACACAATAAAGAAGGACAAGCATATAAAACACCAGAGGCGCTGGCCAACCATTAGCCCCCTGAAGGTAGGTTTGACATCCTAGTTCCCATATTTCCAAAAGGACATTATTTTCAGAACGAAAATATTACAGTATTTCCTTTTCCCAAGGATCAGGGTATCATTTCCTCCTCTTATCACTGGTTCCCAAATGGGGCATAATCAGGGCTGTGAAAAAGTTTTCCCAGAATTAGCCCAGAATTGCTTGCTCCCAGAATTGCTTGCTCGTGGCAGTGAGCAAGACCTGCTTTTCCTGGCTGACAACAGTTGTCTGATGAAGATGGGATACGGCAAAAGAAAATCCCACCCAGAGCTGGGAAACACTGATTGGATTCGTCTGATTTAAATTTCCAGCTGGGCTTGCAGCAGTTTGGAGGCTGATTGCTTTTATCTGTGCTGATAGTACTGAGCATGGAGCAGGGCCCGGAGTTTGAATAGGATTTTATGTTAAAGGTCGAGGCTGGAATTAGATGTTGCATTTGTCCCCATGTGTCTACAAACATACAAGGCCACTATCGGGCATCAAGTCCCACCAAAGCATACAGAATAAAATATGCTATCACTTTTTTTCCTGGGACATTGCAGCATGTGTCTATAGGTTTATCCCCAGTCCTTCTCTAACAGGCTGGCCAGGATGGGTGCTAACCTATTGCTGGCCAGTAATGCAACCTGCCAGGGCAACCTGTGTAAATGATCTGAGTGACATTTTACAGCCTTAAAGCACTGAAATAAATGCAGCAGCAGGTTTCACTGTCAGGCAAAAAAGTCAGGCTACAGTCTTGGTCCCTGCTCCTACCAGGACTTATTTCATGGATACAAACAGCCCTTTGACTCCAGTGGGACTTCTCATACACTTGGCATTACATGGGTCCATTAACTTTTGCATGACTGGGGCCAAGAGTTATCAGAGTCCAAAAGAGATCAGGCTCTGGCTTTAATACCCAGCCCTGTTGGGCAAAGGATAGGAGGGGTGGGGACAGCTTTCCCCTCTTCCTCTCCTGCGGTAGTTTTTTAGGACTTGTATGGACTTATGCATCTTCCCAGAGGGTGAACAACACTCCAGCAACGCTGAGCTCCCCCGTTGTTTAATGAAACTAAGGATGGAAATACTATGGAAGTAAGGACCCTGCTGTTGTCTACTGCCAGCCCTTCCTGGATCCTGGATCCACTACACTGTGATCAACGGTCTGACCATCATCCAGGTATACTTTAAAAGACCCACCTGGATGGAGATTTCCTACCCTAGGTGAAGGCATAAAACGTGCCAGGGCTGGCATAAACAAACAGCTGTTCCCTTTTCTGCCAGTCTCTTCGGCCCTGGATTCAGATGTGGACTCATGCACCTTAGGTTGCACAAGTAGGGTGGGCTAATTAGCACTGTTGAGTGACTGGGATAATTAGTCTACCCCTAAGCTAGCTGGTCTACCCACCCTCCGTGGTGGCTGCATTGCTTTTGGTTCGGGAGCCAGGCTGCTTGGAGTAGTGCAGCGAGGTTCAGCATACCACTGCTAGTCATTGCCGACGAAGGCTCATGCCTCTCTGAACCAGTTAGTCTCTAAGTTGCCTCCCTGCCTCGTGCTGGGGACTGTGAGCTACCATGAAGCTGTGGCCTGGGTTAGTAGCATCACGGGCACTTGGGCTCCTCGCATATGAAGCAGTTCAGAGGACACCGTCCTCTCTATTTCCTATCGTTTGCTTAAGGTTTTTATTTCAGTTAAGTCTCTTCCAAGGGCATAAAGCTGGTTTTTTTCAGTAATTTTTTTGTTGAAGGCTGGCAAAAGAGTCAGCAGTCAAACATTCACCACCCCACTCTCTCCTCCAAGAGTATGCACACGGGCAGTCCAATCGTACAGGAAAATCAACTCAGTGCAACTCATCACTCCTCCAGCAAAGGGAAGGACCTTACCTTATCACCTTTGAGGGGGATGCTGTTTTCCACAGCAGACACCTACAAGAGAAAGACAGGCTCAGAGTGTGCTAGGACCCACTTAGGACCGGATCTCTACTGAGGCACCGTCCACCTTGATGTGATCTACCCCCTGCGCGCAAGGGTCAACTAACTCTGTCCTTCCTCCCTTCAAAACTAGCCATTAATTTGGGTATCAGACTGGATTCAAATGACCCAGATATTTGGATAGGGAGCAAGAAGGGTGTCTGGACGGTAGCGGGACAAGCCAGCTGGGATGTCCGAATCTGGATCTGTGCTTCCAGGAGTTGCAAAAGGTTTGGCCCTGCCTCTTTTGGGATGAGATCAATCCACCTTCAAACTTCTGCATAGTTCAGGGAGGTTCAGACCTGGGTTTTGCTCGGGGCCACTCTCAGCTCTGGTCTCTCACTTTTTGGTGGGACTGCTTGGCCATTTGTAGTGACGAAGCAGTAACGTGATTGCATGGGTCAGGAGGAGCTCGTCCTGAGAGCCACCTTGGCCTTCCCACCCCAAAGGCAACCTCCTCGAGTCTCTGGGTGAAGCGGTCACTGTGTCGGCACAGGCAAGACCCGGCTAAAGCAACCGCTGATCCTCTTGCCCTTGGAATCATAGAAAAATAGGATAGGCAGGGCCTTCAGGAGGTCACATCTAGTCCAACCCCCTGCTCAAGGCAGGATCATCCCTGCCTAAACCATTTCTGAGGATGCCAGGCAGCCAGGAGGTTGCCATCAAGACACCTTTGTGCTCCCCTGTTCCCAGAGGCACTGTGGTCTCAGAGTGGGGCACCATCACAAAAAGTGGCATAGGAGAAGGTGGCAACCAAGACTGCAACACCTGGGGCAATCAAAAGCCCTCTGGTGTATCATGCTGGGGGTAACCTGCTTAACTTGAACCCACTGATGGCAGGGAGACTTAAGCACATTTTCAGTTGATCTTCTGGATGGTTACAGATCAAGGTCTCCTTTGTGGCTGTCTTCATGCACACATACACGTGTGGCATTAATAGAGCTGCTGCAACGCATTTGCTGCAGTGGAGGGATTTAAGTCTGGTGCAATGCTACCACCTTCTTTGTTAAAGACACCAAATGCAGGAAACACCCTAGGAGTGATCGCACCATGGCTTTAGACTCACCGCACCCCATCATGCAAAAAACTGCAAGTCCTTCCTTCCCATCGCCACAGCATCCTGCCCCCCACCCCCTGCCTGATGAGTAGGTCAAGAAAACGAATCACTCACAGCACTTCCAGGTGCCCCAGGCAGCCCAGGCTTCCCCTGAAGAGACACAAGGTCCCCCCCACCCCAAAAGGCAAGTGGTGAAAGTCAGTAATGCAGACACCAGGCTGGACTCGCTCATGCAAGGTGAAGAACGGGAACGTGCAAACCTACAGATTCGCCCTTCTCGCCCTTCTCTCCGTTGACTCCCTAGGAGGTGGAGAGAGAGGCAACATGAGAAAGTTTCCATGACTCAGGAGGGCAGTAGAGTCAACAGGGCTCTCTCTCTGTGCTTCCAGAAACTCAGCTCGTGCTAAGCCTCAGCACGGCACAGACAGGACTTCCAACCGGTGGATGTGCGGGACAAGAGGTTATCTTGAAGCCCACGGGCTTCCCCTGCCTTTACTTCCTTGGCTCCCTGGCCCCCATGGCTTCAGGCACCATTCAACCCAGCCATCAACACCTCAATCACCTGCTCCGGCTGCTGGCACAGCCTTCCCCTCATCCCCTGGGGCCTCCGGACATCCTCTCCCCCTCCAGCTTCCACTTCCTGCTACCCCTCAAGGGACATGGTGATAGGACAGTGTGGTCACCCAAGAACTGGACAATCCTGGGATAGACTCCTCTTCTCTGGTAGGGCTAAGGGGTTTTATAGCCTCAAGCAGGGTCCGTGTCACCTGCACCCATGGCAGGGTTCTGGCATATATCTCATGTTTGGTGTAAAGCAGACTGAAGAGAGGAACTGGTTCCCCTCTTCAGTCTGCTTTACCCCAAACATGATCTTTCCCCTAGAAAGGAGACCTTCAGGGCCAGGTCTACCATGCTCCATAGCACACAGCCATCTGTGCCCTCCATATTTTAGGACGGCAGCCACAGGCTTTTATTTTATTAGCTATGCTGTTTCCCAAGCTCACCCTCCTCCAACAATTGACTTACGTCCCTTCCAGGTTCTCCCATGTCTCCTTTTACCCCCTGTTCTCCAGGACGGCCTGGAAGCCCTAAAGGACCCTGCAAAATAATGCATGAAATGGTGAGGAATGAAGCACAATATTGCTCTTGGCATACAGGTATACCAGGTCCAACCAAAATAGCATTATACAATCATAGAAAATGAGGGATGAAGGGCCCTCAGGAGGTCACATCTAGTCCAGCCCCCTGCTCCAAGCAGGGAATATTCAGATCATCCCAGCCAAGGCTTTGTCTAGCTGGGTCTTAAAAACCTCCAAGGATGGAGAGTCTACAACCTCTCTGGGTAACCTGTTCCAGTGCTTTATTATCCTCCTCATGAGAAAGTTTCTTTCTAATATCTAACCTGCAACTTGAGCCCATTGCTCCTTGCTCTGCCGTCTGCCCCCACTGAGAACAGCCCAGCTCCATCCTCTTTGCAACCCCCTGCAGGGAGCCGAAGGCTGCTTTTCAATGCTATTAAGCTTCCATGCTGGGACTGAAGAGAAAGAGCTCCCGGGAATGGTATGTTCTCTTTATTCAGAGATTCATGGGAATGCCAGTATGATCTTCCCCACTCCATCACCACTGACCTCTCCAGCCTCATCTAGGAAGGGCCTCTTCTGAGGGATGAGTCTTTAAAGCTCACAAGACTCTCCACAGAAGAACCAGTACCAGTCAGGTAGGGGGAGTGGGATTGTAACATGGGTCCCTGCCCCCATGAGCTGCACATTACACCATCTCCCCTTCCTATCCTGATCCCTATACCCAAGACATGCAAACCACGTGCCAGAAAGACACCACAGAAGAAGCCACGCTGTGTTTCAAATGACACTTTCCACTGTGCCCCTGGGAAGAATTATTACCCTGATTCCTCTCTCTCCTGGTTCTCCAGGGACACCTGCTTCTCCCTAAAAGAAAAACAAGGGTATTTTTTACAAGCTTACTTAGTGTGGACATACATACAACTTAGGTCTCCTTTGTGGCTGTCTTAGTGTGGTTTTCATAGTGTGGACATACAAACAACTTATCACTGGGTAAAAGTGGATGGGCTGCTGTCCCATGGTACCTGCCCATGTGCTCCCAAAGTGAAAAATAAGCCACAGTAGCTTTTCTCTGCAGGTGAAGACACAACAGTTTAACCTCCACTTACTGCAGAGTAAAGGGCAAAAAACGTGGCGTGTACAAGCGCCCTACGAGTGTACACATGGGCAGCTGACAGGCAGTAAAACTCTCCCTTTCACTCGGTGACAAGTCATTTGTATGTCCTTACCCTCAGACGCACCACTCCTGGCAGATTTCACCGTCATTTGGGATGTCAGGCGTACGGCACTGCGGGCTGCAGACGCTAGCTCAGACAATAAATCAGGCCTCGTATCATTGAGTGAGGCAAGATCTCCTCCCATATGGTAAAGCAATACTGGGGGAGGAGGGAGAGACAGTGCTAAAGAAGGGGCAGGTTGCAGGAGGTACATGAAATGGGCCATGGGTTTACAGCAACTCATCCCCAATGGAAAAAGACTCCCACTCTCCTTATCAAAGTTAACAGGCTAGCGATAGCCCCATCCCAAATCCATCCCCAGAATCAAATGAACTGTGCCACTAGCATAAAACATTTTGAGTTCCAGTTTGACCCTTCGATGTCTCCCTCTAATGCTGGCAAGTGAAAATGAAGCCAGAAGAAAACTCTAGAAATGAGAATTTGGGGCTTAATGGCAGAATTGACTGAGCCAGAGGGGGCAAAATATGCCAAACCTAAGTGCAATTTTCTCATCTGAAGGGAATGCACCCAATACGAGGAAGCAAGGAATTAAAGGGTTGTTGGCCATGTCCTACTGATGACCCAAGAAGGTCCTTTGTGCCAACAGGATGAATTTTAACAGAATCTCTTTGATCTCTTGGAGAGGGGACAAGTTGTAGCAGCTTTATACAGTATAAATATTTATTAGGGAGTTCTACTTTCTACGACAGTCTACAGCAGAGGGGAGTCAGCTTCATGGCTACAGGCAGACATCGAAACTCCACTGTGTTACCTTGGTCCCCGTGTCCCCTTTCTTCCCTGGTTCTCCCTAGAACATGAAACAAAGCATCAGGTTAAATTTAAATTTGTCACCAGCTTTGTCACTCTCCATTTTCTCTCTGGATGTGTCTCTTTAGGCCAAGTCTGCTTTCTTGATGCCAGAAGAAATGGACAGTAACTCTTCTTAAACAGGTGAAGTTACACAGAGGTAACCTGAGATCTGAATCCAGGCTCTTGTTTTTAAGACCTATTAAATAAGTACGAGGAACTCTTGAGATCTAAACTTCCATCAGACGACAGGCTTGCAACTGCTTTGATGGAAAAATTATGTCATGTTCAACTCAACCACGTGGCCTACAGGAGAATGGTCTTTGGCTGTCATCAGCATTGGCTTATCTGAAGGCCTGTAATACAGCTCTCTGTGGGTGGATGCCCTGAAGAGATGAGTGTGTCCTGAAATATCCTTCAGGGTTGGTGCAAGAGCATCAGGCCATGATGTCAGCTCATCACAATTTGCTATTATAATTTATGCCATAGTCTGATGCTGCCAGGTCAAGAGGTTGTGACCTAAATGCCAAGGCACAATGCATTTGTCCTACTCTGGCTAGCATTAAAGAGCCCGTACACTCTGGCTGGAGTATCTCTGAGTAGATGGATGTATACTCTCCATCATGCCTTATGTATAGCCACAGAAATGCTCTGCTCGAGCTATCTTTTAGCCAGGATCGTACCTGATTTTCACTTACTGAAACGACTCACAGGCTATTTCAGCTAAATATTGCCTGGAGCCACGTAGGCCAATTAAGTGAGCCTCTTTTCCCCTTTTTTGCATCTGGAGAAGGCTGCCATTCTGCACCCGGGACTGACCTGCCTCATCTGACTGGATCGTTAGTTTTTACTTACATCTTTACCTCTTAGTCCGGTCTCTCCTGGTTTCCCAGGTGCTCCTGGTTGACCTCTCTGTCCTTTCAGGCCCATTTCCCCCTGGAGGAAGCAATGAATACAACTGTTACTTTCTTCTTCCCCAGGTCATAACACAACACTCCTGTTTTAGGGGTCGGACACGCAACCCAATGTAAATCAAACTGGCATAAATTTGTCATGTGTCTGCACCCTTAGTCTTTGCTACGCTACGGGAGACATGAGCCGAGCAATACTCACTGAAGTATTTTAGAAGCCAGTTTTCAGAGGGTTTTCAAGCCCCTTCTTTGCTGCATCTCTCCATGTTATTTTTACATCTCCAGAAGGGATTAAATATTGGTTCCACTGGGATCAAGGCCTATGTTTCTGCATATAGAGGCTGATAGTTGGGGCACGAACATCCTTTATTGAAATGCCAGTTTAGGATGGAGGACCGTGCAATTAAACTCCTCCAGCCTATGGGGTCTTCCAGTATGTGCAGGCCATCAGAACCAAACTTGCTGTTGGAGCCTTATAGTTTTTAATCCCCCATATTTCCCCTTTAATCTCATTTTCAAGGCGGATTTTTTTTTTTTTTTAACTTTACAAAATGTCATTAATGCAAGCGGACGTGGGTAACAAATGAAAGCTGTGCTTTTGCTTTGGGAGTACAGCACTCACCTTCTGACCGGGTTTACCAGACAAACCTACATTTCCCTGCGGAAAAATCAGACTGTAAGTCATTCAGCAAGAGTGATGCCTGTGGATGTCACTTAGCTCTTATCTATGAACCCAGCTACCTGCCACCCATGTCAGACAAAACCCATGGAAGCAACTCTGAGATCTCCAAGCAAAATGTCCTTTATTGGGAATATGAGGCTACAAAGAGATGGCACACTTGGCACAAGATAAGCCATTTTATCCTGGGACAAAGTACATTTATTCACGTGTCCATGTCTGTTGTCCCTCCTAAAAAGGTTTATGGGTTAAGAAATACTAACGGGACATCTCAAAGTGCATTTCAACACTTATCCTGGGACTGCATGATTGAATCAATGGCAGAAAAGTGGCCGTGCATTCAACTGGTCACTTAACCCTGATTAGGACAATGTGTGTACATGCCAATCCCCCAATATTTCTGTTCCAGGACAAATACAGGCACAATTTGTCCAGGGATAAATGCATTGTCTGTTCCTAGCTTTAGTGCTGTAGCCAAGATTTTCAGAAATGATGACCAGTATGGGGTACCCAACACATAATGAGGTTTCCAAGACTGCTGAGCTCCCACCCTCTGAAAACCAAAGCTCCCAGAAAAACATAAGTGCTCACAGCACCCAAAGACACAAGTTGCAATGAAAAACCTTGGTCAAAATGTGCCCACATCTGCCATGCTAGACTAGGGACAGAGCCGTGGCATCTTTGTGTGATGGTGTGGGCCCACACCAAGTGGGACAATTGTGATCATAAAGGGGTAGTCCAGGCCGGTGCCCCCACATGGAGTCTTCTCTTGACTAATCCAGTCTCTGCTCTCAGCTGCCTTTTGTATGTGCTAAGGGCCCAGTCCTATGCTCTTTGGTTGGCAGTTGAACCCATGTGAAGAAGGCACAAAAGCATGCTTTTCATCAAAAGGGCTTTGATCTCCCATTTCCACATACATATATTTATTCATAGGGTGTCCCAAGGAATGCTCTCCCTGCCCTCCAGGCAAGTCTTATTTCCAGTTCCCCTCAGTTAAACCCTTTACTTTGCAGCCACGCAGCCTGGTCTGAGCTGCCGTGTAATGCAAGAGTGCCCTGGGGACCCAGGGTTCAATTTTGAGGTGCATCACTGCTGCTCCTGGTTTAATTTGCTAATGAGAGGCCATGCAAGGAGATGGCCGGGTTTTGCCTCAATGCAGTCCCGCTGGTTCGGTCAAGGAAATGGAACAGACATCAGCTCAGGGTCCTTCTCCTTTTCATCCTTTCCCGTCTCAGTTTCCACCCACCACTTGGCCACACTCACCCTTTCTCCAGGGTGTCCTTTCAATCCCTGTTGTCCGGGAATGCCAAAGCCTGGACTTCCCTGGTAGAAGCACAAGCAATACGCATAAATTCAGCACTATGCTGCTTGCAATGAAACCTAAAGATCCTTTGGCTCTGCTCCCTGATCTGCACCCCAAAGACATCTGAGATGAAACCATATCTCTTCACCATGTCTTGGCCAAGAGTCCAGCCCTGGCCTTAACACCCAGCATGGAGGAGTTCAAGACCGGGTCTTATAGAAAAGCACTGGTTTCTTTTTGCGCCCATCTTGCTCCTACACAACACACTGAACAATCTCTCTCCAGGCCACCGGGCATTGCTAGAGTCTGGGTGACAAAGAGAGGGAGCGGGTAACCCACCCCCTGGGTGACACCTGCCAGGACTATGTTAGCATCGCTGCTCTGCCCTAAAACCCTTGAGAACCAGAGTCTGAATAATCATTTCCTCCCTCAGCACCAGCTGGCGCTACCTGACCCTGCTCCACTTGCCAGCCACCCTTCTCCAGAAGCGTGGCAGGTACTCCACCACTTTCTTCTGCCATCAACCTCTTCCTCTCTTGAGGCACTTCTTTCTCCCATGGCCCCGAGGCATAAAATAATAAATGGACACCACTTCAACATCAGTCCCAGAAGCACACACAAGCCGGGGCTGGGACCCTAACATCCACAGACAGTCCATCACTGACCTCAGAGTAGCTGTCCTCAAATGAAAAAAAAAACCCTTTAAAAACCAACTTGAATGTAAAATTGCAGAACAAGAAATTATCCATAGGTAGGGTGACCATCCATCCCAGGTGGAAATATGAGACATCTGGGACACTGTCCTCCCTCCCATCCCTTCCTCACCAGACAGTGCCCACGCACCCCCAGATGCTCATTTTAATTTGCACCTCGTGCCTGGGACCAGCCTCCAAAATCCAGGACTGTCCTGGAAAAATGGGGAGGATGGTCACCTTATCCATAAGAGGAATTGTATTAAACGTTATCTCAACATGGGCTATGGATTCTTATCCCACGACCTGGACTAGCCATTAACTCTGGTGATCCTCCACGTGTTAACCAACTCATGCATCTTAACTGATCTAATCTACCCTCTTCTTATTTCTCTTGTCAGTGGCCCCTTCCCTTCCTCCCTTTCCCTTCTGTATACAATTGTTTCTTTCTGCCAGTCCACTCCTAGCATCTGACAAAGCAGGTCGTGGCATCTCTGAACTAGTTAGTCTCCAAGGTGCCACCTTCCCTTGCCTTCTGCCTACAGACTGAATGGTTTGGATGGCATTAACATGCTCTTTACCTTTTCTCCTTTGTCTCCTTGCATTCCTTTGTTTCCTTGCAGTCCAGGGGGACCAATGGGTCCAATATCCCCCTGAAAATAAAGAAGTTACAAAGTCAGTAGCATTGCACAGAAAGGCCCAACCTTGCTTATATGGCCACTGGAATCTGTATACATGAAAGCCCATAGCTTCAGCTGCTCTGAAAGCAAATCATTGTTCTAGACGGCATCCTAGAAAGAGAATGGCTTAGCCAAGCAAAATTTAATACTAGGTGCATGGTCATTGTCAAGTCATGGCATTGGAAGGGATGTCAAGGGTTGTCTAGAGTCCAGCTCCCTGCGTGGATACAGTCTTTGCTGTTCCTAAGCTGCCCAGCCCCATCCTGAAAACCTCCAGTGAAGGAAAAGCCGCAACTCCAGGATTTGCACAAAACCAGATTTGTGGAGCAAGATTGCTGTTACTGGTCACGTGTCTGTGTCCAGTCTCTGTTCACTTCATCTCCATCCTATTGGGATGCTGGGTCTGCCCACGTCACAGTGGGTGCATCTACACGAGACACTTAAGTGCACATTAGCATAGTTTACTGTGAAGTAAGCATGTGCGTCTACACGTGCGCATGCTTACCATGCAGTAAACCTCCCTAATCCAGAGTAAATTTGCTACCTGCAAATGCAAGTAGCAAATTTACTCAAGATTAGTAACAGCAAAGTAGTGCTCATGTAGACGCCTGACCAGGAGCAAAATCTGCACCTGGTCAGCTGTACATCGGGGGCAGGAGATAGCTCTCTGCCCCTAGGAGCTGCCAGCTGCCAGGGCAGGCTCTGCCACAAAATCCCGGATGGGGTCTATGTCCACCTGCCTTGGCAGCAGGGAGCTCCAACCTCCCTGCTCTGAGATCGCCATTGGGGAGCAGCAGCTGGGAAAGCCTTATCTCCCAGCCCCCATTCCACCATCATGACTGGGGAGCAGGGGGCTGGGAGACTTATCTCCCAGTGCTGGCTCCATGGCCGCAGGGCCAGTGCTGGGAGACCCTTATGGCCCAGCACCATGGGGCAGGTGCAGGCAGAGGCTGGGAACTGTCCTGCTCAGGGACAGGTCGTGGTCCCGTGCCCCTATCACATGATTAAGGCACAGGTTTTGGAAAGAGCTTGAAGGCTTCGGTAGGTCCCAGCCCACTGCCCAGATCTGCCGGTGGGAAAGCTAGCTGTGAGCTAGCTACTAACTACCCTACCAGCTGATTCGGACAGGGGCCTAGGACCTGCCCTCCCCTGCAGCTCTTTCCAAGTCCCCTGCCCCTGATCAAGGAGCCAGGGCCAGGAGCTCCCTGCTGCCGGGGCGGGGACAGCTGTCTCCTGGCCCGGGCTCCCTGACAGCCCCTGGGCTAGCACCCTGTGGTGGCAGGGGCCCATTGCAGGGCTGCAGGAAACTTGGTGCATAGAGCAGCAAATCTGCTCCCTAATCCCCGCATGTGTAGATGCGTGTCAGAAAGTGCTTACTCCAGAGTAAACTTAGGCTGGATCAAATGCATGTGTAGACGCACCCAATGGACACCTGCACTGCCTTAGAGAAAGGACTAACAGCAATTTAATTCCGTGCAATTAAACACCCTTACCCTGCTGCCCTTCTTGCCTGGAGGTCCCACAACCTGAGGATGAAAGGAAGCCACATGAGTGTCCTCTCGTTTAGAAACACAGCCTCCCTTCCCAAGGGGGATGTATTTGCATCATGTTCCACTGGGGAGAAAGCACAATTCAAATTCCACAGGAGAAGAAAAAACACCATTTCTGCTCTTTTCTGGGACTTCACCCACTGCATTTGAATGGCAGAATCCAGCTTCCTTGCTGTATCAGGCACCAGAGAGGACTCTAGGACCTATCTCAAACCCCTGAGATGGGATTTGGATTTAAGTGTGGCATTGAAAGGTAATTAATAGGCAGCTCAGCCCTGCACATGAACCAGCGGAGGCTTAACCCAACACAGATCAAGGACTGGAGTCATTCCAGGGCTGAGCCTTGATAGTTCCAGCAGGTCCTAGCATCCATTAGCATAGATTAAAGTGCCCTCAGAGAGCATGAATCTGCCACGCGATGACTCTCATAACCGGAAATCAGATTAAATGAATGTGATTTGATTGCAAAATTGCTTTTCCTAAGCATCTGTACAATACCAGAAACTAAGAGGCCTTGGTCTTGATCCCCAGGGACATCATAACGCCGAAGACATAACAGTGTTTAACCAAGTGGAATTCCAACAAGGAGCAGATGACAGGAGCCAAATTATCTTCTACAAGTGCAACGAGCAACCGCCCATCCAGTGCCCACAGCGGGAATTTGATCGAGTGGGAACAGACAGTTCAGGGAAACACATCTTTCCTGCTTCTTCATCACTGCCTTGCTGTAAAGGTGCGCACCCAGTAACACAAGCCAAGTCTGGACTGAGTACAGGCTGCAGGATACATTACCCACGGGAAGTTATTAGACCCAGAAAGCATTCATAGTTACCCCCATCGCTGGAGCACCTGGAAATCCCGGGATCCCCTGGAAAGCAAAGTACATAGATGAAGCTAACAGGCAATTAAGCAGTTTTTTTAAACTTAAAAAATTAAGTTTTTTTCATCTAAAAAAAACCAAAACGTTTCTTCAGTCACCTGTGAGCTCCCAGCTGAGAAGCAAAGCTCGACGGTGAGGCTGGGTCTTCTGCTTATAAAATGTCCCATTGGCTTAATCTACTTACACCCCATGATGCATCTGCCTCTAACCTTGTGAGATCCCTTTCCTGCCCAGCTGTTCCTCTCCATAAACAAACTGTTTCATTCTTAAAGGGATAGAAGGAAACTTCATTTTGTGCTCTGCCAGCTTCGGCTTTGCTCAGGCCCTGTGCACACCCCACAATCCCCTTAGCACCCAGTGGGTGCATCTACACGAGGCACTTACTGCACATTAGCTGAATAATGCTATGCAGTAGCGTGGCAGGTAAAAACCGTGCTAATAGCCTACTGTGCAGTGTTATTAGGCTAATGAGCAGTAAGCGTCACAAAAAAACCCATGCGCTGGTGCTACTGCACATTAACTCTAGTTACTATGCATTTAGTTTAGTACTTTATTAAGCAAGTACTAAACTAAATGCGCAGCATCTAAGGTGCATCAATGATCATGTAGACAAGCCCAGTCTATGATCTAACGGGGATTTCTAAATGCAACTCAATGCAGTCATGACTTCAAGGCTCTGATCCAGTTTATCAGGAGTCCTGACTCCTGGTCCTGTGCCCACCTACTAGGACAAATTGTTTTATTATCGTATTACGTACTTGGTCTCCTTTCTGCCCCACTCTTCCCGGAAGACCCTGCAGAATGTAAAAGAGAAGTTTCCAGTAGAATAAAACACATCCAATGTTTTTTTTAGTCTATGCATTGGGCTGTGAGGTGACACGATAGCATAACTTATACATAATCAGAAGAGTCTCGTCGAGAAGGGCTCCCCAGGGGGCCACACTTTGCAACGTGGAAAACGACAGCAGTTGTTTTGCATTTCACGCTGCCAACACACCTCAGCTGGGAACTGGAGCAAGGAGAGGGAAGTTTTGTGTCCGTGGCCTCTCTGCCGAGATTACATACATGCAGCTAAGTGAGGGGGGGGTGATTTTCATGATGCGGAAGCTTGTGCTTTAGGGAGTGATGCAAAAATCACTAGCCAGCATCACTTAGGCCACTAATCAGCCATCAAGGACAAAGGTCCACCCAAGGCTAGTGGCCTATAGGGTGATTGCCCACCGTCAGCATGGCAGTGGGAGTGATGTGGCCAGCAGGACATCCAGGCATCTTTGACTTCCCAGCCCAAATTACCAGTTACACGTTTGCAGGTGGGTCAATTGGGCACGGCCACTGGTATGACTCCAGAGCAGGTTCTCACTCACACTGCTCCAGCCACAGCGAGATGCTTTAAACCCTTTGCCACCCCAGCCAAATCAGCCAGCAGACCGTAAGAAGTCTTCCTGATCTCCAACCAGGGCCAGATTCACAAAGGGTCACCAAGAAGTGATAAAGTCTATCTCCCAACCCCTACCTTTGAATAGCCTGATCCTCTCACCAGGTAGGAGCTATTCTTCATGGATTCCCAGCCATACCCATACACTCATGCATGAAATTTTTACTAAAACTTCTGTTCTCATGAGATTTCCAGCCCCATTTTTCACTGAAAGATGTGGGAATACAAGTCTCTGCAGTGCTCACAATAGCCTGTACTAAAAGGGCTCCTGGGTGAGACCCAGAGGTCTGTCCAGCAATTAACACCTAAACTGAACCCATGGTGATGAGTCGGTTCTAACACGCTGCCCCATGCTATCCACCTTAATGCCATTCACCCAGGAGGACGAAGGAAAAGGAAGCAAGCCATTATACTCAGGTCCTTTTCCACCTCTCCAGAAAGGAAAATGCCTTTCAGTTCAAGATCCCTTCACCTGGCCTGAGCGCTGAAGAGGAACATGAATGCACATGAGAATCAGACCCAATCTCCGTAACCGGAGCAGACAGCAAGCAGAGCCCATGAGGTTTTCAGTGGCAAGTGTCTTGACAAGTGGCTCAACAGGCAATGCAGCCTCTGGAAGGCGATTCCCTGCCATCTGGACAGGCTGTGGGATGCCTCCCTTTGGAAGATGCAGAATCAGCCTAACCAATTACTTACAGCAATTCCTTGAGGTCCCCTCGGCCCGGCTTCTCCACAGTCCCCCTACAAGGGACAGAAAATGCACTCCTCAGCCTGACGAAGGGTGTTTGTACCCGAAAGCTTGAAAAGAAGAATTTTCTCAACTATTTGAGTTGGTCTAATAAGAGATATCGGATTTACCCAAAGAACCGGGTCTGCCTATGTCCTTAGACCAACACGGCTACAACCTATACCCCTGAAAGGCATTGGGTGCATAAGAGTTGCCAGAACACAACAGACCAATGGTGCATCTAATCTACCATCCAGTCTGACACTGGAAGCTAAAGAGGAAGGCATGTACCATTGCCTGGGGACCAACCTCCCTGTATCCTGTAGTATGAGATTTAGTAGCTTATTCCCATCCAAGCAGCTATAAGTACAGGGGCTATTTTTGGACGGGAATATATTTAACTCAGTTTTGATTACTGACTTACTGAATGACAGAAGCCTAGAAAGCCATTAAAAAAAAAACCCAAAACAAATATGAATGATAATCTTTCTCAATCAAGGAAAATCGGTCACACTTTCACTAGGTTCAGATGACTCAGACACTGGGCCCAGTTCCCCTGTCAAGCATGCTGACTTTAGACCAGAATAACGCTGCCATTTTTGATGAGCTTGACCAATATAACCAAAAATGACAAATCAGGCTCATTTTTTTTTCTCTCGTCTAGATTCAAGCATCATTTGTTTAAACTCACCTTTTCTCCCTTGACACCGTCTTGGCCTTTTTTACCCTGCAAAACACAAGATGCTTTTATTCATGGAAAAAGACATTTTCAGGAAAACAGCAGCCTGCCAGCATTTAACCCTGCACACTGCAAAAAGCAAGCGGTAGGCGTTCCTTCTAAAGGTGTTCATAAAGGAAAAGGAAAGGGATGTCTTTGAATAGCATCAGAGCTTTGCCCTTCACGCTCAGCTGATGAACTCCGAAGCACAAGACACAATCTCATCATTTTATTCTTAGGTGTCTATGGTGACACGAGAGGCTCCAGCCAAGACAGGGGGGCCTGTTGTACCTTTTCATGTTTTTTTCTACATTCGTTTAATCATTAAATTCATTAGCTGTTTTTTCTTTTAAACCTCAGACTATCTTCATCCAGAACCCTACCCTTGGGCCAGCTGGTCCTCCTTCTCCGGGCAATCCTGGTTCACCCTAAACAAAAGAGAAAGGGGCATTATTTCCCTGAATTTCCCATGAAGTGAGTTTGGAAATTGCTCATTAAAAAGACCAGCCGTTAACCCTTACCCTGCTGCCTCACTCAGTGCCATCTCATGGGATGCCGCGTTTTATGGATGCTCTATAGGTGCTGGCAGAAGTGATGTTTTGTCACGTGATCGGCCCCCTGAAAGTGCTCTAGAGCCATGCCCTGACAGAAGTGCACGGTTGCAGAGCACTTCAAAAGTGCCTGACTGTGCCCCTAATTAACCCTCATTACATGAAGGTTCAGATGAAGGCACTCCAAAGCAGCGTGCCTTCATTCATTTCTTTCAGCCCCTGTTTGGGAGCAGAGCTGGGCTGATGCAGCCGCAGCCCCACTGTGCCCCTGGTGCTGTCTTCAGGATGGGAGGGAGGAGAAGGAAGAGAAGGGATCTTGGTCTGGGCTTTGCCCAGTCTTCACTGGAGTGGTGGGGGTGGGGGGGCACCTATCGCCCTCCTCCCCACCAGTGAAGACTCAGCAAACCCCAAGATGCATTGTTCAGCAAACCCCATAATGCACTGCTTCCCTATTCTAAGATATGGGACCGTAGTAAGTGGGTTTTGCCCAGTCTTCACTGGAGTGTGGGAGGGGAGCACCCACCACCCTCCTCCCCTCCAGTGAAGACTCAGCAAACCCCAAGATCCCTCCCTTCCCTTTTCACCCTCTCATCCTGGAGGCTACAGTGGAGTTGGCGGGGAGAGGGGTAGGGGAGAGAGGTCACAGACATGTAGCCATCTCCAAAGTGGAGCAAGATCCTGCCCCCCCCCAACCAACAGAAAATGTCTGTTGTGTTAGGTGGGGTGCTATAACTCGTGGCACTTGCTATGAAGCGCCATGAGTTATAGTGGGAAGCTGCATGTCTGTCAGCACCCTATGTTCCCAGGGGAACTCACTCTATGACACACAAGACAAGGCCCCACACTCTTGCAAGGGCAGTAGCAAGACTGTTAGTTCTTTACTATAAAATAGTTCTGTATATAAATTCCTGTATATAAAGTGTTGTTTCCACAATACAAGCCTCATCAAGATGTTAACAGCAGCTCACTTACTGCTTCAAGTACAAACCACAGTGCTTAGCCAACAGCTATGGCTGTGAAAGGGTTAAAACAGGACTCTGCCCCTCCAGTTTGCTGAGCAGACACAAGCGGCACCCATCTAGCAGCGGCATGGCATGCACCACATCTCCAGATGTGCTTCTTTTCCACCAAAGAAAACAGCTTCCCTACTTAGGAGATGCACCCCCTATTTGGGGGAAAGCTACATGTTGTATGTGAGAAATACAGGACTCTGTTCCAAAAACGGTGTCGACACAGGTCAGACTGGATAGTCTCACTCTTCAGTTGCCTTCTGCATCTTGTGAAGTTCTTATCTTCAAAGACATCCTGCAGCAATGAGTTATACAGTCTAACTATGCCTCATGTGAAAAAAAAATTCCTTTCATTGATGTGAAAAGAGGTGAGGAGATAGGCCACTCACTTGGCATCCTGCACGACTGTTTGTCTCAAGACTGCCACCTATTTCCCAACCACTAAAGCTACCAACTTTCTTTAGCCTATATCAGGGGTGTACCATAACTCTGAAATAATTTAGTGCGGTTGAATGTCAGTTATGTGTTGCTAATTTGACTGAAGATAGCGTGTCTTTGATAAGTCTGGGTAAACCTATTTTCAATAAGCAGCACAGAAGACTTTGATGACCTGTGCCATCTACGGGAAAAAAAACCCCAATCCAAAGACAAATTATATAAATACATGATGCTGAGAGCAAACGCACTGATAGACCATAACTGAATAACAATTACATATGCCAGATGCTACTGAGAGCGAGGCAGTTGGGTTGCTTGTTCGTAGAACAGTAGTTGATGTTTCATAGAAAGATATTTTTGGAGGCATGTGTTTTATGAAGGGCATCCTTCTTCTTCAGCAGTTTGTCACAAGTCAGAACGCAAGTCTTTGAAATTCAGTTGAAGCATCCACATTGGTTTAAGGGTTGACACCAAGATTTGTCTTCTCTTCTGTCATTGTTTGCTTCTGTAACTTATTAGCAAGAGAAAAGACCCTCTCAGTAGGTACGAGGGAGAGATCATGCAAAACTCAAAACAAGTCAAATGTTTTCTGGAGGAGATTTACTTCATTCTTCAGTGCCCAAAGTCTTCCATGCTTCTTGATGATAGCTGGATCTTGTGGCTGCTCCCCTCACAGACTTTGGGAGGGTTAAAACACAACGAACACTTCATCAGATAAAGCTCCATCATCAAGAAACAGGCTTGCTTATGAAACAACAATGGGGCATCTTCACCAGCTGGCTAGGCCATTGTGTTTCAAGAGAGCCCAAGAGAAACTTCCAAACTCCATCAGTGAGTCTCATGTCTCTGAATCCTTCATACCTGCCATCTTCTTCAGCTTTTTGACCTGAAGCTTTGTAAATGTAAAACAGGTCCACATGGCCTCCTCTGCAAATGAGGCAGAAGGGAGTCCACGCTGGCTCCCTAGGCATGGCTACACGTCCACTTGGAGCTGTTTCAAGAAAAGGGAGCTGCTTACAGGGAGCGTGCAGCAGCTGTTATGTTCTAACGGTTACCGTTGGACAAGCTCGGAGCAATACAAATGCATCAAAGTTGCTCCAGCGTTAACCCTGGATGAAGCAGAGTTAAAGTTGGAGCTGTTGTGCTGCATTCGTATGGCTCCAGCAACAGCTACTGCCTGAGCCAGAGAAAATACACCCCCTCCCTTTTTGACATGGCTTCAGATGTACATATACCTTTAGAGACTAACAGATTCAGAGAGACATGAAATTTTGTAGGCAACAACCTACTTTGGCACACACTATGAATGGCCTGGCAGACAGCAACAATTATATATATAGAAGGCAAAGGGACAAGGGAAGAAGCAACTAAGAGCGGTAATAGGTTGAGTAGATCAGGGGTGTCAAACTCATTCAGGCCAAATGAGTGGTCAACTCCAAGATCCACAGATATCACAGGGACTGGATGATCACTGGGCTCAGGAAATCACTGGGATTGGATATCACTGGGACTGGATGATAGGGCTCAGGAAATCAGATCCTGCTCATGGACTGTATCTTTGACACCCCCGGTTTAGGTCAACAGATATGAACAAAGCAGTTAATACCTGGAAGGACACTTCAGTTAACAGCTAAGTCCAGAGAATGGGATAAGTATCCATAATCCCTATTAAGACCATGTTTAACACAATCCAGTCTGTGCATGGTTTCTTGTTTGGCACGAACATGACATCAGATTCATCTAGCAAATGAATGCAAATTTGCAAATACGTACTCTCATTTGAAAATCTGCAAAATTAGCGACTGGCTGTCAGGACACCTCTTAGACAATTTTTTTTTACATGGTTAATGAAATGCTAAAACATTGTGCCGCTAAAGCCTCTTGATGCATTGATGTTTTGGTGGGAGTGATAATACCCATTTTTCCTCCGCAAGCACCGGTGAATTAAGGAGGTTTTTGCAAAACTCGTTCATCTTTGCCATCCTCTCAGGAAATGGATATGCTTTTTTGCAGTGCTTCTCCAACACCTCTCTTCCCTGCCATGGTTTTGAGTGTTCTTTCAAGAAGACAAAAACTCTCCCTCACCTCAATTTGATAAAACTGCAAGACGGAGCTTGAGTACAAAGAATTGCAGCCAGCTGACTGCCACGAAACACAACGAGGCAGTGCAAGTAGGCGAACGTTGCAACAAATGCTGTCAAGAAGCACCACGGTGTTATGTAAGTCAGCTACTCTTCGTGTCTGTCCATCAGGGTGGCGATAAATTACCATCTGGCTGTGGCCAAGCACCAGACATACATGAAAATGGGATGAAAAATAGACAGCTGGCCAAAACTGGCACAAAACTGTAACGTTGCTAATCTTGTTGGACAGTAGGACATACTGCTTAAGGACAGGGCTAACCCGGGCAATCAAGGTGCTTGTTAACTTCAATAACCATATAGACAAAGATTCAGCTTGGATGCATGTCCATCAATACTCACCTTCTGTCCTTCTGCTCCAGGAAGTCCCATTGCCCCCTGCAGAAGAGAAGAGAAAGAGAGAGCTCAGATTTAGGACTCATTGCTGGCTCCTAATTCACTTCTTCTTCCCACCGATCTGTTTCTTTCCTTTCCCTCCCCCAGCAAAGCCTGCTTTCCAAGCCCCATCCTCAGCTGGGATCTATCCACTCATTCACAGGGGGCTCATTTTGACAGCATCTATCACTCATGTAAATCCAGACCCATCAAACAGGGAAATCATGGAAACAAATGATCTTGGTGAGAAGAATATCTTGGTCAGAAATTTAAATATGGGACTGCATCTCCTATCACTTACTATGGCCCCATATCTTAGAATGGGGAAGCAATGCATCATGGGAGTCCATAGCCCTGATGCATCATGGGTGATATGCATTGTCCCAGTGACTTCAATGGGTTGCAGATTAGACCCTCAGTGTCTGTGACTTGATTTAAAAGTTACCCTAGAAATGCAGCAATTGCAGATAACCCTCTGCAGGGCCCCTCCCTGCCCGACATGCCCTGCTACACCCATCCCGATTTTCAAATACTTGGGAGAATAAAATGAGCTGGCAGACTACACTGATTCCCTCAATGGTGAAAGAGTCACCACCGTGGCGGTGGAGTCTGGGTCCAGTCCTTCAGTAAATATTTCAGGAGCATTGAAGGTGGAAGGGAGAAGCAGAGCTTGACTACTGCACACATCCAAACCCAACTGCAAGGGGGAAACCTACCTTTTCTCCTTCCGCTCCCTTCAAGCCAGGCGTGCCAGGGGTACCTATCCCTGCCTGCCCCTGAAACAGCAATCACAGCCAGTATTGTACCCACAGCGAGGGGAGAAAACATCCAGCAAATTGGTCCTATTCACAGCAGTAAACCCCCACAAGCAGGGGCAGTGATTTAGCCCATGACTAAAGCCTATGACTATGAGATGTTTGGTCATGTAACCCTTGGTATTGCAGGGATGCAAGTAGAAGAGCTACTTAGACCTGAACGGGAAGGAGGGACATGCGAGGAAAGGGACCACAGGGGTTTTCAGCTAAGGTATAAAATGGAATAAGGAAATCAGCCAGGTTCAGCCAAGGCAGGCAAGTCCCAGATACCAGAAAGGACTCTAGCGCTGGCTGATAGGAGCCAAACAGAAGATGACCCTTGAGTCAGGAGAAGCCAAGAAAGGAGATAAAACAAAGGCATACAGAGGATGGGACAGAGACATGGCATCTCTTCTACTCTGTGACACAGGAGGCATCAAGTCCTCACCGTGTGGGACGGGGACATGATCCTGGCTCTCCATCTTCCATGCATTTGATGTATCCTACTAGTAACAGGCACTCCATGGTTTCTCCCCTACTTTGAGCTGATTTGTATAGAGAGGCTTTTACACAAGCACTGACCTTTTCCCCTCTCGGTCCGGGAAATCCTGGAGCACCATCTAGCCCTATGGGGCCGGGCAAGCCAGCTCTCCCCTGTAAAGGAGGAAAGTCTGGGTATTAACCAAGGTAGTAACAGGCCATGTGATAAAATGAAGCACCACAAATGACTCTGAAGAAGTTCACATGGCCCCTTAGGAAGTGAAAAGTATTAGTAGACATTTCCCACCTACATAAATTGCAATCCCAGAATGCATTGCATTCTTCCCTCCCACCCTTGAGGGCTTGTGTCCAATAGGTACCATCCAGCTCAAAGTGCCCAAAGGGGAAAGACCATCCCCAGGCCATACTCACTGGCTCGCCCTTGCCTCCTTTGTCACCCTTAATGCCGTTCTTTCCTCGAGGCCCCTGTAAAGTTCATGAGACGGTATCATTGTCTCAGACAACGTTTCTAGGAGCTACCCAAGCCTTGTCAGCACAGGTGCATTCGTATGTCAAGTAGGCACTTGTAGTCTTCTTCCAGCAGGTCTCTTGGGTATGGTGGCTTCCCTGAAACCACTGCAACCCTTGCAGGACACTCAACCAGGGGAAGATCACCCCTTAATTATGTCCAGACCTATGCTCTTCTTCAGGCCTCTTCCACACTGAGGACCCACACCCATACTTAGCACCAATGGGCAGTTCGAGGAGGTGTGTGCTAGTCAGAAGAGAGGCAGAGACCTGAAAGGGTCCTGCCTGACTTTTTCTGGATACAGCCCCATGCTAGGCCTCACTAGGGCATGGGTTAAGTGTGGCTACCACAGTCCATAAGCCTGGTTCAAAACACATAGCAGGGCTGTTACTCAGTTGCTGAGACAGGTGGGCAGACCCAGAAGTGGAAGGGGAAGTAACTCTTACCCTGTTTCCTGGGTTTCCTGGCTCTCCCTGAAACACGAAGGATGGGGAACGTTACAACACAAGGGTGGGGATACTCTTCCTTCCTGTCTCCAGTGGTGCCTCCCCTTAAAAACCTGAACCACACAGGGCTGCAGTTGGCCTCCAAGGACCATCAACCCACATGATGGTCGCATCAGGCCCCCCTGCCAGGCAGGAGGACACAGGATTGAACGTTTGGCCTCAGCTCTCACTTATATCCCTAGAGAGTGAAGTCTTCTTATCCCCAGGGTGGAGGTAGGTGCAAGAAGGGTTGTGTCTACCCTGCACGACCCAGATGTCTCAACCCTGGAGATCCAAAAGAGAGGTCCTCCCCAAGCAAAGAGAAGGGAGATCAAAGCTCAGGCCTTGATCCTTCTGGCACGCCACCTTGCTGGCATTCACAGTCCTCTGAAGCTGAACCATTAAGACCCACCCAGTTCTTGGAGGTGATCAAAGGCCACCTACAGCAGCCACAGAAATCAATGGGAAAGGTCCCCTTCATCTCAAAGGCACAAAGCCAATTCCCCTGAAGTCCAGGGGGTCTAGGAGGGCAGGAGGATGTGTGTCCCCCCCGCGACTTAATGACAGCAATGCACCTTATGCCCCCATGCTGGACCCAGGCCCCCAGCTGTACGTGCCTGAGCAATGCAGAAGAGCAGCTTGCCACAGTAACACACACCTTTGTGGATGTCCCTGGAGGTCCCTGTGGTCCTGGCAGCCCCGGTGGTCCTGCTACTCCAGGAACGCCTGGCTGCCCTTTCTGCCCCTGAAAGGATTTCAGCCAAATATTTGAGAGACGGCTCCCTTCATCATCCCCAGCTCTCTTCATCATCACCGCCTGAACCTGAATCTGGCAGGGACTGAGCAGGGCAGGAGCATAGGTGAAGTGCTCAGCTATCACCCCGCCTGGGTAATCACCAAGCTGCACAGGCATGAACTCTAGGAAGACATCCCTCCCCCTTCTGTTAAAAGCAAAGAGGGTCACCACAGTGCATGAGACGGATAAGGCTAAAGCAAGAAATATCAATGAACGTGACCCTGATGTATGCCTATACGATTATTTAGAGTGAACACACCCATGCCAGAAAGGCAGCCACCTCTGAGGCAAAAGGCAGCAGCTGTTTAACAGTTTGCAAGGGCTGAATATAGCCGGGTCTCTGGTTCTATTCTTTATCACTAGCACCAGAAAGGGATTACCCCAAAGGGGGTAGCAAAGCATTGATCTAGACTGTCTGTATGTCTTCTCCCTTCCCCTCTCCCTCCATCTATCTTGGGGAAGGAGCTCTCCTTTCCCATAAATGAATGGCCCCAATCTTAGCCTCTATTAGAGCATGGGTAACACAGGAACCCTGACTGCCCCTAGCAGGGCCTGTGCAATCCCCTATAATCACAGGTCAAGGGAGCAGAAGGGAGGGAGGTTGTTTCAGACGCCATTATTTACTCACCGGAGGGCCGGGCTGTCCGTTTCGGCCAGGAATCACTTCCACACCTCCTAGGACATAGCCTGGTTCTCCCTGAACAAGAAACAGCACAAAAAGTGGTTTCTATAGGATCAGAGAATCATAGAAAATGAGGGTTGAAGGGACCTCAGGAGGTCACATCTACTCCAACCCCCTGCTCAAAGCAGGACCAGCCCCAACTACATCATCCCAGCCAGGGCTTTCTTGAGCTGGGCCTTAAAAAACCTCCAAGGATGGAGATCCCACCACCTATCTAGGTAATCCATTCCAGTGCTTCACCACCCTCCTAGTGAGAAAGTTTTTCCTAATATTCAACCTACAATTCCCTTGCTGCAACTTGAGCCCGTTGCTCCTTGTCCTGTCATCTGCCCCCACTGAGAGCAGTCCAGCTCCATCCTTTTTTGAGCCCCCCATTCAGGTAGCTGAAGGCTGCTATTAAATCCACCCTCAGTCTTCTCTTCTCCAGACTAAATAAGCCCAGCTCCCTCAGCCTCTCTTCATAAATCCTGTCCCACAGTCTCCAAACCATTTTCATTGCCCTCCGCTGGACTCCCTCCAATTTCTCCACATCCTTTCTGTCGTGGGGGGCCCAAAACTAGACACACGACTCCAGATGTGGCCTCACTGGTGTTGAACAGAGGGGAAGAATCACTTCCCTCCATCTGCTGGCTACATTTCTGTGCTCAGCTTCCCTTTCCAAGCCATCCTAGGAACTGGCAACACAAGAAACATGGACCACCATCACCTTTCCCTGCAGGTGGACCAGAACCCCCTGCTGACATATATCAGCGTGACTGCATGCACTGCAATGGAGATATGCAATGAGCCTTCCTGAGTCTTCAGTTGATTGTCATGTTGCTTCAGAGGCTGGTAGAGAGACCTGAACATGGGCACTTGTCGCAAAAGAACAGGACAATGAGAGACAGGTATATTGGCTGGTGGTACTCAAAGACACCCCAAAGCAGAGCACTAGAGCCTTTCATAAATCACTGATTCAGGTGTAACAGTTCAAGGATTTTGTGTTAACAGCTGTCGAGTCCTTTCCCACAGACGACGGTAGGACATGATCTCCATACAGATGGATGGACTGGACCCAAAACAGCTCCGGCTCCTGAGGGGTTTATCTGAATCCATTCATCCTGGACTTCAGTTTAGCAATTTGCTAATGGGATTTCTTGGCCAGGGGTAACGAGTCCAAGTGGAGCGCCGTGCTGACATGGTTGTACTGCTCCGGGTACCTGGTCTAGCTCATTGGGAGCTCAGCCTACAAGTTTATGGTGCCTCTGGGTCCCCATCTGCACCCTGGGACTTCTGTGTGGGGGAAAACCATAACACCCAATAGTAGATTGAATCTGGACAAGCCAAATCCCAGGGGCAGTTGCAGTTACAGAGATACTAGAGTGACACTCACTAGCCATGTCCTCCATATGGATAGAGGCCTTCTGGAAAGTCTCTACCTACTTCACCATTTATAGCAGCCATTTTTTGAGCATCACAGATGACACAACGCTACACCCCCAAGCCATCCAAAGCTTCACAACCTCAGCAAAGGTGGGACTGAGACCTCAGCAGAGGTGGGACCAAGACCCTCTCACTTGGATCGTACGTGCCCATGGCACTGAAGAAAGGGACTAAACGAACCAAGGCCATAGGATGAGTCCTCATGGGCTCCTAGTAGTATACGGCTAACAACTCGCATTTGACAACTTTTCATAGAAATCATATAGAAGTAGGGCTGGCAGGGACCCTCCACAGGTCATCTTATCCAACCCCCTACCTGGGGCAGGATCAGCTGTATCCAAACCATCTTATGCAATCCATAATCTAAACTTGTTGTAAAGCTACCCTCAACCCTGACATAACACAAGACCTAACACCCAAACCTGCCACAGGTAAAGCAGGGGAACCACAGCAGCTGATGTGCCGTGCCTTTAAAAGTTTGTTAATATACACTCAAGAGACCCCAGGCAGAGAGAAGCCATGCCCTCCTCTAGAGAGGAAGGCCACCCCCCTCACAGTCCATACCAATCTGACCATGGGGTGAAATTCCTTCCTGATCCCAGATATGGTGATTAGTCTGACCCTGAGCAGAGGGGAAAGACCCTCTAGCCTGGAGCCTCCAGCACTGGTCCCAGCAGGAGCATCAGCACAGCCCCATCAAAATACCCAGCCTTGGCTGCAGCCAACACTCGACGCCTCCGAGGAAGGCTGATTCTATCCACTAGATGACAACAGCGTGCACACACACTAATAGTTCATCAGTGCACAAAAGAGGCTTTTTTTCCAATTGAAACACATATAAGGGAACTCACTCTGTCTCCTTTCGGCCCCGCTGGTCCTGGATATCCAGGAGGCCCCTGAGGGTTTAAAATAAATCACAGAATTAAATAATGTGGTGTAACCTGATCATAGGCTTGGTTTCAATCAGCAATGCTCTGTGGCAGACTCAGTTGCACTAGGTAACATATAGATGCTCACTTATACAGGTTCCTCTGATTAAGTGAGCACCTATGTTCCCTGAATAAGTGAGCATATCTGTCTATCTATCTATCTATCTATCTATACATATATAGATGCTGGTTTCATTAGCTTGAGCCCCTGTGGTAGCTGTGACTGGGAACAATGCTTCATGCAGGAAAACAAAGCAATTTGAGAGTGAGAGTCTATGCACTGCCCTTATACAGCAAAGGCTGAACCTAGGTGGGCAATTCCAGAACCACAAGTGCCCCCCTTGTTTGAGCTCATAGGGCAACTCCAGGATGTGGCTCTTATCCAACTTGGTGGAGGCCAGTAGAGGAAGACATGACTGTACACACTGGGCACGTCTACACATGTGCATTTACTATGCAGTAACCGAAATTACTGTGCAATACAGGTGCACATCTACGCATGCACACTCATATTGTGCAGTAAATACAGCAACTTATGCTGATTTGAGCATAAATTTGATACCTGCGTCATTAATTTACACCTAGTAGTTCCTGTACCGTAATGCACATTTAGACACCTTACTGCGCAGTAACACTGTGTGTGTGGACTGACTTGGGATTCAAATTAGCACAGCGTTAATGCACTTTAACACCTGCATGTGTAGATGTGGGCCTATTCCCACTAACTGTGCAGTAATTTACTGTGCAGTAAATTTAAGCCAGCATAAATGCACACGTAAACTTGCCCACTAAGCCAGCATCTTCCAACATCACGGAGACAAGTATAAGCACAAGCAACGAGATGGAGCAGGTAAGGTGATGGGTGTTGTCCCCACCATTAGATGGTACGAAATCAGTGTGATGCTTCCTCCCAATCGGACATAGGCAGAAAATGGGCAGGGCCTTAAGCATGGTGTTCCTCGTGCTAATGAGGCACTTAACTCCCCGCTTCCTTGCTGACGTCCCTTCCTCAGCTGCAATGACAACAGCATCTCACTAAGACAGAGGGGCAACGCTCTGTACCCACAGACTGCCCCATGCCGGATCTCGCACAGGTGAAAGGAAGCAGGATTTGCTGGTTTTAGGATACTTACAATATCGCCTTGGATACCTGGAAGACCCTGTAGGTAGAGAGAAGGATGGAAAAATTAGGTGTTTAAATGCTGGGGGGACTATTTGAAATCAACCCCAATGTTGACAATGCTCATGAATCCACATATTTACCATCCGCCCTGGGGAGCCGGGGGGCCCTGTCCGTCCGGGTCTGCCAGGCAGTCCAGGAATCCCATCCTTCCCAGGTAGACCCTAAACACATGGAGAACAACAAGGGCAAGTGTGGGGCATATCCCTGACGGGGCTGTGGGAACCACATGGAAGCCCGACCTACAGCAGGTTTGGCACGGTGCGGGGAGAGGATCCTGTATAAAGCATAGGCTCCTTTTCCACTAAAGAAAGGGAAGGATCATAGGAAAGTAGGGCTGCAAGGGACCCCAGAAGGATATCTAGTTCAGCGCCCTGCTCAAGGTGGGATCATCCTTGTTTAAACCAGCCCAGCCAAGTGTCTGTCCGACCTGCTTTTGAAAATTTCCAGGGAAGCAGATGCCATAACCTCTCTAGGCAGCCTGTCCCAAAGCTTGACCACCCTCATGGTCAGAAAGCTCCCCCGAAACGCCAACCTCAATTTCCTCCACTGCAGTTTGAGGCTATTGCCTTCTACAGGCACAGGGGAAAAAAAGTCTACCTCCATCCTCTTTATAATCACCCTTCAGGTATTTGAAGACTCATTGAATACTTCCATGTAATTTCCAAACTCAGAAATCCCACAGGATTTTCAAGCTCAGCTAGGTTTATGGACTCAGCAGTGACCCTGGCGGGGTGGGCCAAACTCTGTGTATGGTACATGATCAGTTATGATCACTGATCAGTTCTAGGGCACAGCAGTCCTGATCTCAGAGCAGCTCTCCAGGTCATTCAACATTTTTCTTGTCTCTTGGCTTCAACCGTGCCCAGGTCCTGACTTCAGCAGTGCCGCATTGCTCAGCCTTACAGGAAACTTAGGCCCCTGGGAGGCAACTGCATCTTCCTTATTAATAAGCTCATCATTTTTTGGCCTCCCTTTATATACACCCACAAACACCCTTGCACACACACATGTTCCACCCACATGTACATACCCTCCAAACCTTGTTCTGTTTGATTTTCAAGGCATTGTGGGACAGAACACCTTAAGCACCGATGCAAGGGGTCTGGAGACAGCTCTCCCACTGCCCTTTGTAGCCACTGGCATGTAACCTGGGACATCATTCATGCTCCTAGACTCACCCTCTCTCCTTTCTCTCCCTTTGTTGCAAAGCCGAACGGATCATAACCCCTGCCCGTCTGCAAGCCCCTGTAGCTCTGGAAAAGGAGAAATGAAATAATCATTCAGGACATCGTGACCCTTGAAAGGAAAATGAATGGACCCACCCTACAGAGCCCTGACACCCCCCGTCCGGGCCACCACTCCACCCTTTCCAATAAGGCAACATAGGAGGTAGACAGAAAGCGAGCAGATCCTTTGCAAAACCAGCCTGAGAACAAAATCAGCCTCTTTTTTTATGCCATGCATTGCTTATCTTCCTCCATCCCTAGGCCACAAACTATGAGGACAATGCCTCTTCTGTATATTGAACTGGAGGGCGATCGCTTCTCAGGGCGGGGGGCACCTTGCAGGACAAGGAAATGCAACTACAGTCACACGACAAGGAGTTGTAGCATAGGATGGAGACTACTAAAATGGAGATGCAAGAGCTAGGGCATGCCTCATGGTTTTCTGGTCTATCTTTACAGACACAGGAATGGATCTTAGTCTCAGTGACAAGGACACAACCAAACTATTAGCTCTTGGGGTCTGTAACAGGTTTGGGGTTTTAAAACAGCGAGGGTCGTTAACTACTGGAATAACATTAATGGGGACATAGGTGGGTTCTCCAACCCCCAAAGTCTTTAAAATAATGCTTGAAGGCTTTCTAATGGGTACCATGTTCCTTCTAATAATATGACATCTTTAAATGTATGCTGCATCCACATTTTCTGACTCTCAATTCAAGAAATAAAAAGTAAAGACTACAGCCTCTATGGAGCAGATGGGATCACTTTCCTTCCCTTTTTCCTTCTCAGATTTAAGAGGCAGCTATTTTTAGAAGAAATATTTGGTTTCAGAAAAGTGTGTTTAACAGTCCAAGGAATATGACATGTGCTAGCTTGAGCAAGACTTGTGGGCATGTTGCAGAAGACAAATGCCAACTGCTTGTGACCTAGGCCGAGGTCTTCAGAAGAAGGCTCTGCTTCTCCACTGCGCGGCTCCAAATCTGCATGCTGTGATTCTGTTCAAGTCAGTCCTGTATCATCAGCATAACACTGGAGTAGCTTGTTGGAGGATCAAGCTCATACTTCACAGTTGCATGCACTGGCTGCACCTATATTCCCCAAGCACATAGTCACGAGCGCCTATCAGTTATCTCACCTTCAGGCACTTGGAATCACAAGGCCCCGGGGGTCCCTCGATTTGTGGGTCAACAGGTGATGGATCATAGGCCAAGGATTTCCTGTCCATGTCACCAGACTGCTGTGGTTTGTTCGCATTGCGTCCAGCAACCTATAACGCATAGCTCAGGTTAGATGTCTCCTGGTCAAAACGGATTATGAGTTTTAGGAACCAGTTTAGTTGCAGCCTCTTGCCACCACATTGCCAAGATGAAGTCAGACACATAGGTGGGAACTGGAAAAGACTATAGATTTAGAGTGACCTCAGATATCCTTTCCCTTCATAACTGATATGTCACCAAGTTAGCAAATAACCATGAAAGGGCTAGAAAGTTATAGGATTACAGGAAAGCAGAGTAGGAAGGGACCTCACAAGGCTACCTAGTTCAGTCCCCTGCTCAAGGCAGGATCATCTTTGACTAAAAGCTGTCTGTCATAAGTGATTGGCTTGTTGGTCTAGGAATATGATTCTCACTTAGGGTGCGAGAGTTCCCAGATGAGCCCAGATTTTGAAGGATCATATTTCTGGGAGTCCAGCAGGAAAAATAATGCAGCAGGGAAACCAGCATGGATATGTAGCAGGTAGATCATGCCCAACCAATCTGGTTTCATTTTATGACAGGGTCACAAAATGCTTAGACGCAGGAGTAGAGGTGGATGCCGTTTTCTTGGACTATTGCAAGGCCTTCGATATGGTATCGCATCCTATTCTCATAAATAAATTAAGAGGCTGTGACTTAGATGTTTACACGGTCCAGTGGGTGGCAAATTGGCTTGGGGTTGCACCCAGAGAGTGATAGTAGACAGGTCAGTATGGACCTGGAAGGATGTGGGTAGTGGGGTCCTGCAGGGTTCGGTCCTTGGACCTGTACTCTTCAATATCTTCATCAGTGACTTGGATGTGGGTGTGACGTGTACTCTGTCCAAGTTTGTGAACAATACTAAATTGTGGGGTGAAATGCCCACTCCAGAGGGTAGGGAACGATTGCAGGCAAACCTGGACAGGTTAGAAAAGTGGGCAGTACACAATAGGATGCAATACAACAAGGATGAGTGCAGTGTGTTGTACCTAGGGTGTAAAAATATCCAGCACATCTACTGGTTGGGCAGTGACCCTCTCAGCAGCACAGCAGTGGAAAAGAATCTCAGAGTCATAGTGGACTCCAGGATGAACAGGAGTCGTCAGTGTGACGAAATCATCATCAAAGCTAATGGCACTATCGTGCGTCGACAGGTGCATGACGAATAGATCCAAGGGGGTGATACTTCCCCTCTACGTGGCATTGGAGTACTGTGTCCAGGAAGGATGTGGATAAACTCGAGAGGGTCCAGAGGAGGGCTGCTCATATGGTTAGGGGCTTATAGGACAAGCCCTATGAGGAGAGATTGAGGGACCTGGACCTCTTCAGCCTCTGCAAGAGAAGGCTGAGAGGTGATCTTGTGGCCGCCTACAAATTCATTAGGGGGACGCAGCAAGGGATCGGAGATGCGCCCTGGTGAGCAGAGCCTCTTGGGGTAACAAGGAACAATGGTGACAAGCTGACAGACAGCAGATTTAGGCTAGATGTCAGGAAAAACTTCTTCACGGTGAGGATAGCCAAAATTTGGAATGGGCTCCCAAGGGAGGTGGTGCTCTCCCCTACCTGGGGGGTCTGTAAGAGAAGGCTGGATAGGCATCTGGCTGGGGTCACCTGAACCCCCAGCACTCTTTCTTGCCCAGGCAGGAGGTCGGACTCGATGATCTGTTGAGGTCCCTTCCGACCCGAGCATCTATGACTCTATGAATCTATAAACCATCCCAGCCAAATATCTAGCTAACCTACTCTTGAGAATTTCCAGGGGTGGAAGTTCAAGGACCTCTCTAGGTAGCCGGTTCTAACGTTTGACCACCCTCATAGTCAGAAGGTTTCTCCTAATCTCCAACCTAAATTTCCGCAGTTGCAGCTGAGGCCATTGCTCTTAGTCCCCTACAGCTACAAAGAAAATCCTATCTCCATCCTCTTTATAATCATCCTTCAGGTATTTGAAAACTGTTATCAAATCCTCCCTCAGTCTTTTCTTCTGCAGACTAAATAAACCTAGCTCTTTCAACATTTCCTTTATAAGTCACACTTCTCAGACCTCTAATAATTTTTGTCACTCTCACTGGACTCTTTCTAATCTGTCCACATCTTTCTTGAAGTGCGGGGCCAAAAACGGACACAGTTCTCCATTGATATCTCTTTGTTCCACTGATATCAATGGCACGATAATTTCTAGTGGTGGATACTAAACCTCCCTCCTCTTTTGTTCTTGCTTTCAATCAGGACACAGGGTGAGAGCATAATCACTAGAGGCACCTATACACACCACAGGGTTTAAACCTCGTTAAATTAAATAGGTTTATAAAATGTAAACTTTTTTATTTTGGAATGTTGCATCAATGTTTGCCTGCACTAGGTTTTCAAACGAATTGAGGTTTGGAGCCTCGCATCAGTGTTTGCATGCACTTGGTTTTTGAATGAATTAAGCCGGTGCTGCAGGAGAGCAGTGCTATACCTCCCCCCATCTCTCCTGGGCCAGGGCAGCCCACCCCGTGCCTTGCCACACAGCTGTGGAAGCACAGAGCCAACAAATGGCACCAGAAAAAAAAAAACGGAAGCAATTTGAAAGGTGAAGTAATTTGAAGGGGTGAACTACAAAAAAGTCACAGCCCCATCTGGTGGACAAAGAAGCACATTACACATTTTGAGTGCCTTTGTGTTTGCATGTAATGAATCCATGGATGCGATGCTTTAATTCGCAGCAAGCTAAACTAAACTACGTCTGAGGAGTTTTACTTTAAAGCACCAGAAAGACTTTTAAAGTGTCCAGAAAACCTGCTTGTGCAAATAGTCATGCCTCTGCAGTGCAAGAAAGGGCAAAAAATGTGGCATGTACAAAGGCCTAGGTGCAGAAAACAATCTTTACCATATTTGCAAAGCTTTCCCAAGTAAATAAAGAATGAAGCATAGAAATAGAAAGGCCGTGGGAGAAAGCAGCTCACCTGCCCAGGCTGTGGCTGGGCTTCTGGCAGCTGCAAGTCCGAGCATATGGTATCTATAAGCTCCCTGATGATCTGGGGAAAGTCATCGAAGGTGTTGATATAGAAAACATTCTGCAGGTTGCGGTGAAGCAGAATGCTACTCAGTTCTTCAGGGTCCGCTCTGGAGATGCCCACAGCAATGACACCGATTCCTGAAATAAATACCCCATGTGCTAGCTAGAAAGAAGCACAGGTTGAGAGTTTGCAAACCAAGTACGGAATCTCACCTGTTGCAGTGAATCTGGGAACAGTGTGGCTAAAAGCCTGCATCCACATGGAAAATCTCAACCATGCAGTAAATATCAGTGCCTCAGTTCCTGATTAGAATTTATCTTAATTCACAGAAACTCATTTACGCTGAGGAGAGGAAGTCATCTCTTAGCGACTAGGCCATCCAGAGATTAGTCATCTAAGAATATTGGGCCGGGCACATCCGTGGAGCATTTGACTCACGCGGTTAGCTTAGGGTTCACCCACAAACTCAACAAAATAAGGAAAAGAGAAAAGCTCAGAAAACCAATACTGAGCTTGTAGGAGACTGGGTTAATATAAAGCCCAGTCCAGCCCAACTGGAACCCATGCAGGTCTTTTTGCTGACTTACCTGGGATGGGGATCAAGGCCTTAAAAAGGTAATAACGCAACAAGGTCCCTACCTAAAGCATGGACTGCTCTGGCAGGTGGGAGCACATCGTCCTGTGACTGTCCATCAGTCACCAACACCAGGGTACGAGGGAAGTCTGGCCTGGACCCTCTGGAGGGATGAAATAACTCCTTTAGCACATAGGCCATGGCACGACCTGCAAGAAGGCAGAAAGACACACTGTCTAGATCAGTGATTCTCAACCCTTTTAGACTCAAGGCCCCTTTGGAAAATGCCAACTCTTAGGTTTCACAAATTACTTGACTGCAGAAAAGGAGAACAATTCTTCTGTTGCAAAGAACTCAGAAAGCCCACAACAGGACAGAATGGTTTTGACATTATGGAGTCCTATCTGAAATCTCTAGGGTTTATCTTGTGAATTATCTTGTGTAGCTGTTTGAACACCTAATATTGCATGGTGCCCATGACACCTTTAAAAGGATCTCATGCCACCCCAGGGTACCATGCACTCCGGTTGAGAATCACTGATCTAGATCCAGCAAGGCCATGTTTATACATTACATCACTGATTGAGCCATGAGAAAGCATATAGTCCACTCATATAAGGAGATCATAAATGTCAGAGCTGGAGAATTATTTTATTTTCTGGCAGATCATGATAAATGCAGTGGAATTCAATAGAAAATTCAGGTCAGATATGGTGAATAACTTCCACCAGAAAAAAAAACTGAAAAAAATGAATCAAGGAAAGTTACAATGATTTGTCCTGACATTTCAGAACCAAAACACTTAGAGTTTTTGTTTTCTTTCATTTTGAAATGATGCTTTCATTTGCAGAATTGCTAGAGTTCAATTTTAAAGAGGAAAAAAAAAGAAAAATCCACAAAAAAGATTTTTTAATTTGAGTAAAAGTGCTTCAAATCAAGGTAGACAAGGTTATTTGGATAAATGTGTTATCTTTTATGAGACCACTGAATAGTTGGAAAAATTGTTCTTTGCAGGCTTTCCGACACAGGCCCCCTTCCTCAGGCATAAGGAGAGTTTGCTGGTCTACATCTTCTCTCTAGGGTCCGAATAAGAGCAACAGAATAGAATAGAATGGAAGTCTGTGCTTGAAAGCTTGCAAAGAACAAATTTTCCAACCACTGAATTGGTCTAAAAAATATCACATTTACCCAAAGAACTTTGTCTGCCTATGTCCTTAGACCAGGGGTGAGCAAAATGCAGCTCGCGGGCCGGATGCAGCCCACCAGGCCATTCCATCCAGCCTGCGGGGCCCCTAAACAATTTAGAAAATTAATATTTATCTGCCCCTGGCTGCCTGTCATGTGGCCCTCAATGACTTGCCAAAACTCAGAAAGCAACCCTCTGCCTAAAATAATTGCCCATCCCTGCCTTAGACCAACACAGCTACAACCAACACCCGCGAAAAATTTCATAGATTTCATAGATTTCATAGACATCAGGGCTGGAAGGGACCTTGGAAGATCATCGAGTCCAGCCCCCCGCCCAAAGGGCAGGAAGTCAGCTGGGGTCATAGGATCCCAGCAAGATAAGCATCCAGTTGCTCTTGAAGGTGTTCAATGAAGGCGCTTGAACCACCTCCGGTGGCAGGCTGTTCCAGACCTTGGGGGCTCGGACAGTAAAGAAGTTCTTCCTTATGTCCAGCCTGAAACGATCTTGAAGTAGTTTGTGACCATTCGACCTCGTCATCCCTTGGGGCGCTCTGGTGAACAAACGTTCCCCCAGATGCTGGTGGTCACCCCTGATAAACTTGTAGGTGGCCATCAGATCACCCCTGAGCCTGCGCTTTTTCAGGCTAAAGAGCCCCAGGGCTCTCAGCCTGTCATCGTAGGGTCTGCTTCCCTGACCTCTGATCATGCGCGTGGCTCTTCTCTGGACTCTCTCAAGCTTCTCCACATCCTTTTTGAATTGTGGAGCCCAAAACTGGAAGCA